GTGATTTATATATATATATATATATGAGCAACATATCGCCGAAGAATTGATGCTTTTGAATTATGGTGCTGGAGGAGACTCTTGAGAGTCCCATGGACTGCAAGAAGATCAAATGTATCCATTCTTAAGGAAATCAGCCCTGAGTGCTCACTAGAAGGACAGATCGTGAAACTGAGGCTCCAATACTTTGGCCACCTCATGAGAAGAGAAGACTCCCTGGAAAAGACCTTGATGTTGGGAAAGATGGAGGGCACAAGGAGAAGGGGATGACAGAGGACAAGATAGTTGGACAGTGTTCTCGAAGCTACCAGCATGAGTTTGACCAAACTGCAGGAGGCAGTGGAAAACAGGAGTGCCTGGCGTGCTCTGGTCCATGGGCTCACGAAGAGTCGGACACGACTAAACGACTAAACAACAAATGAGCAACACTCGTGAGTTGAGCCTAGCCCAGAAACACCTTTGAAGCTAGTACAGTTGAATAAGCTCAGTGTTATATTGTCTGTAAATTGCACACCAAACAGCAATCTGGCTGCAGCATTTTGCACAAGTTGCACTTTCCTAATATGTACACATCAAGGACAACCCCATGTAGAACATGCTGCAGCAATCTAAATGAGGAATGACTAGTGTGGGCTATGGATCCTCCCTGGATTCAAAAGTAAAATGTGGTGTCCAAGATAAGGCAGATAGAGGTGATTTTATCCTTCAAATGCTTAGCAGCCCTATTTATGAGCCCCCAACTCCCCTCGTGGACAAAGCTCTAAAACTCCTGAAACATTTGGAAGTGGCCCACTGGGCAACACTGCAAGGACACAATGGATACACTATGACCAACAGTGTTGCTGCCACTGTGTCCCCACTGTGGAAGGATGTGTGGATCTAGAATAGGCCTCCACAGTCACTTACAGACTCATTGTTAAAACCGTATTTATGGAAGACAATCTTACTCAGCTACGAGTGATCACCAAAGAAGAAAGAAGTTGCTGCCACTCACCAACACAGAATAAGCTCAATAATGAACTCTTACTTACGTATGACTGTATTTGTATCAAGGTTTCTGACACTTGTGCTTCCAGCATCCCTTCCTTTTTCATAGCTCCAAGCTCATTGGTAATCCAAGCAGCCAATTGAGCTTTGGACAGCAAAAGATGATTTGGAATGCTTCAACAGCCTGAGTCAGCTCTGTAGAATAGATTACAACTATTGATTAAGGAATGTCCAGCTACCAGGAACTAAGAGCTTCTGAACAAGAACATACATATTTAGACTGAGATCAGTGTATCAGTCATGCTCCATCACCAGCGCATGAGAAAAAAGAGTCAGCAAGAACAGAAACGGTTTAGAACCTGAATTATACTGCATATTTACAAAAGGTTTGTACACTCATGGTTAAACATTCAAGCTGAACAACCCTGCAAAGTTTACATAACTTTTAAAAACATGGGAATAGAACAAGCACCACATCCAGTGAGCACCCAAGCATTTCCTTCTTAAAAACAGAGTTGTGTTTTTTGAAAGGATACTTATTGAAATTCCAGAGGGGACTATTTATCCTCCCCTCCCCCCGCTTCCTTGTGTGCAGTGTATGTAATACAAAATAATTATTTTAAAAAAGTATATTGAAATAGCGCTAATTTTTAAAGGTCTGAATGTCAATTTATCAGTTAATTCACCACTGAAGGTACTTACCAAATTCTGTATGTACCAAATTCTGTAACTCATAAAAGACTTTATTTAAGGGTTTAGCTAAACACTTGAATGCATAAAAGAGCATGTTTAGACATGTTGATAACTTGTGTCTGGAGAGTTGGGAGGCAACAGTTTCCTATTTGGGAAGCTAAACAAACTTTTGATATAGTCCTCTTAACATGGCTGTATGACCTCAAGATATATGTAGGTGCAGTTTGTTTGAAAGTGCACTCATGTAAAAATGGTAGCATTGTGTCATCAGAGAAAGATTAAGAGAATTTGTAGCCTAGTTTTCATCCCGATAGCCAACTTTTTCATGCAGGATATATGTTATGATATGGGAGTAATTTCAAATAACTGGTCCAGCTCACACACATGAATTCTGGGGTGGTCCAATAAGGTGTGGTAGCTGTGTCAAATCAGCAGAGGTAGAACTGGGGCTTTAAAACTACTGTTAATTTCCTATTTTAAAAAATTACTCTGCAGCTATACTATTGTAGCCAAAATCTATGCTATTATGTGGCTGTTATTTTTGTTTATTTAAAAAGCTAGTTATATACACCCCATTGCAATCTATCTGTAGGGAGGTTAAAATGATGAAACAATAAATTGTGGTCAATTATAGCCACATTATATTGACAATTTTGGAAATTATACGGGGGTTAGGAACATGACCAAAGTTAGGAAAATCAATTTCTTTCTATTCAAGTCAGATGGATAATGTGCACAGTCAACCAAATGATACAGCTAGTGTGCACATTGTCCTGTTCTTCTTGGCTATTTTGAAATATGGAAACATGATCCAAGAGAAGTAATTCAATTTAGCTGGATAAAGATGGACAGTTCTAACTTAACATGTCTGTCATTCACTAATTATTTGTATCATGTGCACAGTCTCCACACTATACTTTGCCAGGGGTGTATACAACTGAGGAACTCTTTCTCTATAACATTTCGTCCATTTCCTTTCTTCTAGGACATATCACAGAGAAGTAGACTGTACGTATATAATTGAATAAAATTACCACCAATGATCATTCACAGCATTTACAATCTTTTTCACATTTATTCACACAAGAGCTCAATGCAGTAGACTATATGTCATGTTAAAGAGTATGGAGAGAGATCCATATCTGCCTTGGACATCCAGTCCTAAACAAAGTAGGATTTCCCAAATACAAACCCATCAATTTATGCCCTGTATCAGCCTGATCTAGAACATTTGCAGAAGAGGAACATTCTTCTTGTAGACTCCAGCCAGCCAGAATAGGAACCTTACAGCACTGTTCAGGACTCTGGGGAGCGGGTTTCAGAAGAGGAGAGAGAGGAAGAAAGGACATCCATTTCTCCCCAATGTGCTATTCTGGAGTAGGAAATAGCTCGTTTCTTTATTCTCCCTACTGAACCATTATTCTAATCTATAATGTAGGAAGAGGTTTTTTTAACTCAGGGAAATCATTCCTCCCCCATTCCCCCTCCTGAAATACTTACTAGAACTTGTAAGGGGCTTCAGCAGACCAATTCTTCTTCCTTACTTCCCACTTCAACTGACACTCTTAGTCTTAACAGTTCAAGTCTCAACTGCTCTCATCCATAAACTTAAGTTGATTGGAGTCTATCTGCCTTACTTACTTTGTGAAACTTCCCTGTGGAAAATAATGGAGAAATCCAGAATTTTTGCATGACTGTGATTTGGCAGAGGGATGTCTACCTTACTCCAACAAAAGGTAGCAGCAAACACAGAATTCCATTATTTGGCATTTGGTGTGATACTGGTAATTCTATCTCCAAACAATGGTCTGAGTTACTCAAGAAAGTTTTATATCTCCAGGCTCAACTGTCAGCAGTGTATCATAAATTTAGGAAGTTCACAGTCCTTTTTGGCTTATTTCTTTTAATTTACTTGAATACTTGTGTGCCTAGGAGTTCCCTAATGATACAGAAATCACTACCTTGGTTTGGGATAGTCCTGTTTTGCATCTGAATTGATAAGGCATTGAGGCTGCTATCCTGTATCTGTTTACCTATGGAAAAGGACCCATTACCTTCGAGGGTGCACACTTCTGAGTAGACAAGTACAGGAATGCATCATCAGTCACACAATTTCACTACAGTCAAACCTCAGTTGTCGAACGTAATCCGTTCCAGAAGACCATTCAACTTCCGAAACATTCGACAACCAAAAACTGAAAGCGGAAACTCAAAACAGAAGCTGCGTAGCATGTTCGGCTTCTGAACATCATTCAAAAACCTGAGCAGTTACTTCCGGGTTTTTAGCGTTGGGGGAAAACGTTTGAAAATGGGGCTGTTCCAGAAGTGAGGTTTGACTGTATTAGGAGAAAGCAGTACTGTTGAAAACAGAAGGCTGGATTATCTTCATATTAAGAGTTCCATCCTTTATCAGTGCTCAAAAAGAACAAAACCCTGTACAGTATTGTCAAGAGGGCTTGCTTCTAATGTGCTTGTAGGACTGATTGCAGCCTTAATTGGTGGGGCTTCCTCAGGGGTTAGTCGGTAAAAAGAGAAGTAAAAAACAAGGAAAAGCCCATTTCCTACACGCCTGCCCTGTGGAATGCCCTCCCATAAGATGTCAAGGAAATAAACAACTATCTGACTTTTAGAAGACATCTGAAGGCAGCCCTGTTTAGGGAAGCTTTTAATATTCGATGAATTATTGTATTTTAATATTTTGCTGGAAGCCACCCAGTGGCTGGGGAAACCCAGCCAGATAGGCAGGGTATAAATAATAAAATTATTATTATTATTACTACTACTACTACTACAACAACACCCTACGAGCTCTAAACCTGTAATTCCGCATTTTCTAGAGCAGTGTCGGGTTATGGGTGGTGCAAGCGGTTCCCCTACCCAGGGTGCCAAGCCAAGAGGGTGCAAACAAACATTTTTAATAAAAAAAACCACCCCAATATTTATACTGGTACCTACTCCAAGTTGGGGAGGGCGCCCCATTTTGTCCCCTCTGTGTGTGCCATATTACCAAAATCCGCCCCTGACTAGAGCTGGGATGGGCTGACCTTGTGGTAAGAGGGAAGAAACTCGGCACATGCTCTGAGACCACCTTATCGTCAATAATAGGACCAGGTGCCGAGAACGCCTAGGAGTTATTTGTAAGTAAATGTGGGAAGGCGCGGGAAGGCACATTCATGACATTTAAAGTCTGGGGGCGCTTTCCCAGCCGGTGGGGGGAAGGCTACGGCTGCCATTAACGGCTCCTTAAGCGGCATCAGCAGCTCGCGGTGTGACTCGAGGACTTTGTACGAGTATGAAATCATCGCCCGCCACTATTGTCCAAGCGCCGCCCTGCGCGCCGCCCTCACGCCTCAGCCCCTCACGGCTCGGCCCGGTCTTCGCGCCTCAAGCCCAGCCAGGCCGCTCGCCGGCCCGAAACTCGGGGCTGTGGAAGGGAAAGCTCCTCTCCCCCCCCCCGCCAACACACGGAGAGAACGGAGAGGGAAGGGCGGACATGGCGACGGCCGCCGTCCTCAGGGAGGCCGCGGCCGGATATGCGTGTACGCCTCCCTCCGCTGTGGGCCGCCACCGGCGCAGCTGACTCGGCCCGGCCCAGCCCAGCCTGCCGAGCAGGAGCCGAGAGAGGCGAGGCTGCGCTTCCCCGCCCGGCCATGTAGAGGGGGCCCGCCTCGCTTAGGCCAGCTCAGGAGACAGCCGGCCGCCTCAGCGTGAGGGGAAAGAAGGAAGGGGGGGGGGGGAAGCTTCGCCTGACAGAGGGAGGGACGAGAAGGCGGCGGCGGCGGCAGCAGGAGCCGCGCTGCCTTGTGAGGCGAGAGGGTCGCGGGGGTTGGGTGGAGCCGCGGGGCGCCATGGAGGACATTAACTCCAACGTGAACGCCGACGCCGAAGTGCGGAAGCTGCAGGAGCTGGTGAAGAAGCTGGAGAAGCAGAACGAGCAGCTCCGCATTCGCAGCGCCGCCGGGGCTCCGGGAGGCAGCCCCAAACGGCTGCTGGGCAACAACCACGGCGGTGGCGGCGGAGGGTCGGGAGCCTGCACGCCGCCTCTGGCCGCGACGGCTACCGGCGCCCCGCAGTCGCCTTCGCCGCCCTCGCCCGCCGCCAACGCCAGGAGCAGCCCTCTGCTGCTGGGGCTCGAGAGCCGCTGCCTCGGCCCCAACAAGGCCGGGCCCAGGCGGCCTCCGCCGAGCGAGGAAGGAGCCGGAGGAAGCGGCTCGGAGGTGTCGGGGGGAGCCGGCGAGAACGCCAGCCTCCTGGACGAAGTGGAGCCCCTGAAGCCCGACGAGCTGGAGCGGCTGGCCGGCTGCGGGGAAGACGAGACCGGCTGGTGAGGAGGAGTGGGACGCGGGTCTGGGTTTATTTATTCCGGTCCAAATGCGGTGCCTCCTCCAGGTTGCACGCAGTTGGGCCGCGAAGACTCCCTGTTTTGCGCTTGGGAGGGTTAGGATCGCACGCTGCCTCTCAGATCGGCGACCCCCAAGATCGAAGGCCTTGCCTTGCGGGGTCTCCCGGAGGAGAGCCAGGGTTCCCGGTGCTGTCGCAGCCCAAGGGGCCCGAGAGAAGCGGCTTCCCTACGGGGCTCTTGCCGTGGTTTCTTGCACCTGGGAGGCTCCGCACAAATCTGGGAGTTGCAGACCTTAACCTTCTCTTGGAGGAGAGCCTTGTTTTGGTTCCTTTCTAGGGAAGGGAAGGGAAATCTACCCAATATTCCCGAGGGGTAGAGAATCCCTTTGTCCTTTCTCCAGCAAGCGGCGGCTTCAGGGTACTTTTGTTATAGCAACCCAGAACCACAGCGGCAAAGGACACCCATTCAGATTTTTTTGTTGGGCGGTGCACTGGGGATCTTCAGATTTCTAAATGATGAGATCCCTACTTGAGCGTTTAGCGGCCTGCTTCTGTAGTCTCTGAAATATTTCACAAATTCACAAGTCCATAAATTCTCACTCTTAAATCTCTCATAAATTTCTACACGTTCCAGGAAAAGGTGGTTAAATCCTTTACTCATGGGCATGCTAGTATTTCGTGTTCTAGGTAACTAGGGATGTGTTACGTATTCTAGGATCGTAGTAAGGTTTAGTGCTTTGGGCCCCTAAGCTATCTCACTTTAAAAGTTACAGGCATTTGTGCCCTTTTTGAATTGACGTTCTCATTCTTCTTGAGCGAAGATGCTCAACGTTTCATTTTAGTGAAAAGAATGCTTGAAGTGAACTCAGAATATGCCTGCAAAGGATATGGAAGGTAGACCAAGAAGACAGATCAATATTCTTTAAGACTTTTTGAATCCTTTACACACACACACACACACACACACACACGTATATATTTTAGTGATTCCCAAAATGGTGGCTTAGAACTGATAGGTATATGAATGAAATCTCATGGGCAGGCTACCAAAGCAAATTACCTGACTACAAAATACTATGTGATTATCAAAGATCTATGTGCACATGAAATCATCCCTTTTCCCTTTAAAGGAGATGTACGGGATAACTTCCTCCTTTCTTGCTCACTGCTTGTGTATATATCAAGCTAAGTTTGTACAGGTCCCCCTCATAATGTGTGGATATACATGCATTTTGCAGTTGTGTACAAAGTTCTTTTATAAGAACCGATCTTTATGTGTGATGCAGTGCAAGAGGGAGTTCCGTCTCCTTAAACAGAGAAGTATTTTTTAAAACAAAGCTTCAACTTCTGGGGCATCACTTCTATGAAAAGTTTTTGGAGCTAGGCTGCATTATAAAGGAGAACCTTCAGGATTGTGTAGTATATTACAAAAACAGTTGGTTTATGTTACATTTGTAAATTGCCTTGAAACACATGTAAAATGTGATTCATAAATTGTGTTGTTTTAATTACTTATCAATTTAATCATAGCTAGGAGTGGCTTAAGGACATGGGTGGCGCTGTGGGTTAAACCACAGAGCCTAGGACTTGCCGATCAGAAGGTCGGCGGTTCGAATCCCCGCAACGGGGTGAGCTTCCGCTTCTCTGTCCCTGCTCCTGCCCACCTAGCAGTTCAAAAGCACGTCAAAGTGCAAGTAGAGAATAGGTACCGCTCCGGCGGTAAGGTAAACGGCGTTTCCGTGCACTGCTCTGGTTCGCCAGAAGCGGCTTAGTCATGCTGGCCACATGACCTGGAAGCTGTATGCCAACTCCCTCGGCCAGTAAAGTGAGATGAGCGTCACAACCCCAGAGTCAGTCACAACTCGACCTAATAGTCAGGGGTCCCTTTACCTTCAAGAGTGGCTTAAAATGGAAATTCTTGGGTTCTTTCCAAGCCCCTCCTATTGCAACCTGGTTCACGTAATACTAAGCTTAACCATGGCTTAGCATGAACAAGCAAATGTGTAGATTCCTGGAGACAAGGTTGTGGGCTCTTTGTTCCTCTGCTTGTCCTGCCACTGTCACACTGCTGCAAGCAAAGTTGTGGTTTGACTTATTATTTAAGTCCAAACCCAGACTTGTTTATCTTGATCCAGTAAAACTATGACATGCAGTGAAAGTTTGTTCTTTGCTTTTCCACTAGTACTTTATCTGAGTGAGACAAACCATGATCCTAAGTTCAGACCTAATGCTGCCAAACCATGGCTTAGCTCGCAGCAGCAGCAGCAAGACCTGTGAAGAAGTGAAGTGACCATAATCTTCTCTCTCAGAACGTACATATTTGCGCTAAGTCATGGTTTGAATTAGCATGGCATGTGAATTGTTCTTGTATGTCTTTATCCAGCCAGGAGACAGTGTAAATCTCCTTCTCCCCTTCCCTCAGCCACTGAAGGACCATGAGATTGCTTGTTTTTGAGGGACACTGAAATAACCAGACCTCTTCTCCTGCTGTATCTTTCTCTTGACAAACTTGGCTGTTTCCCCGCCCCTTTTTCCCTTGGACTACCTTACCTGATGAAGAGGGAGACTAACCAGGGGTTATTTATGTCCATTTTATGATCTTCAATACACTTGAAGTTCTTATTCTCATTTTCTTGAAAATGTCTAGATAATGGTGAATACAGTGGTACCTTGGATTAAGTACTTAATTCATTCCGGAGGTCCGTTTTTAACTTGAAACTGTTCTTAACCTGAAGCACTACTAATGGGCCACTACTAATGGGGCCTCCCGCTGCCGCCGTGCCGCCGGAGCACGATTTCTGTTCTCATCCTGAAGCAAAGTTCTTAACCTGAAGCACTATTTTGGGTTAGCGGAGTCTGTAACCTGAAGCGTAAGTAACCTGAAGCGTATGTAACCCGAGGTACCACTGTATAGTGACAAAGTAGGAAGTACAGGCAACGACCATTTTGCGCATGTTCAAATAATGTACAGGCGCATTGCCACAAACCCAGAAGTGGCAGGAAAAGTGGGTGGGATGGGGCAGGCTTCCGCAGTCACATGTGTTGACCCAGAATGCAACCCCAGCACAAATCGGAGATTGCCTGTAATTCAGATATCTCTCATCTCAGCAGTTTGGTATTGCTGCTGCCAGTGCTTCTATGATTGCTATGCAGAGTTGTAGGTGTCAATTACTCTGATAAGCATGCCTGACAGTGGTGAGTTTCCGAATGTGAAAACACAAAGACGAGTCCGTAGTCCAGTGGGAGAAAAGGTCCTTGATTCCTGACCTCTCCAGGTAGAGCTGGGAATGTCCCCAGCCTGAAACCTTCATGAAGTGCTGCCATTCAGTGTAGAGTACTGGGCTAGATTGACTGATGGTCTGATTTGGTATAAGGAAGCTTTCTTTATTTTTCAACACCAGGAAGTCTTCCTCAGTCATAATAGGCAACAAGTATCCTTGGAAGTATATATTGTACCTGAAATTAGTTCCACCTTTCTTTCTGTGTTGCTTAAACCAAAGCACAATTTTGGTAAGCAGCATTTATCAGTTTTAATTAATTTAGCCATGTGGACTGCCTGAATGCAAATTGCATTTTTTTTTTGTATCTTTACCTCATTTCAAACTAATTAAACTACATCTCTCACACACACACATACGTGTGTGTGTGTGTGTGTGTGTGTGTGTGTGTGTGAGAATAGCTTTTCAGGCATACAACTCTGTTGTCCTCTTAAAATATTGCATTCATTTTAAATGGGTACAACCTTCTAATTAGACTGACATGCTTATAGTTGAGGTATTAGAGCAACTGTCCTGTCTCAGTTAACAGCAAAGATGAATCACTAGACTAATTTAGTGATTGTGAAGCAGTTGTGGGTGAGCTTGTTCTAACTTTATTTTCTAACAAACTCATTATGTGTTTTGAATGCTCATTGTGAAATGAGCCACTCCAGTGCAAGGCAGATATTTCTCTTGACATTTTGACATCTAAGATTGTCTTGTTCCAATGCGCCTTTGACAAGCTTAACTGAAAAGTGTCGGCTCCTCATTTTATGATGTGGCTCTGTTCCATCATTCCTTGTTTTATTTAGGCTATTTATGTAACTTGTTTTATTCTTACATATTAAACTATGTTTGTTAACTGTTTTGGGGTCCCACATTGTGGTATAGCAAGGCCAATATTTCAGTTTTGCTTTTTATGATGACTAAAATCAAAACAAAGAAGTTAAGGACAGTATTTGCTTTTGAATACAATTACTTGGGTGTTTCTACTAGTATGATAATATCAAGGCTTAGGTCATGCTTTGAGAGAAATTGCATGACAGTGTTAGAATGAGTCACTATTGCATTCATGGGATAGAAATTTTATCTAAGACCAACCTAGGTTAAAATCCCACATGGCAGTTGAATATGGACTTGGTGCTGCTAATGTAATGCATGTGGTTTTGTGCAGTGTTCACAGATGATAGACCTCAACCAAATGCCATCCCATATTTTCCTATTTAACCTGACTTTACTATTTACCCAGAAAATGAAGTAAGTGAAATAAACCTCCTGAAACAATAAATCCAAATTAAATTGGAAAGCACGGGATGGCACTTTGATGAAGACACTATTCTGTGGCACTGCAAGAAACATGCATGTTCGAGGAGTACACAGTCCATAGAAAACTGCTATATGAAAGCACCCCCAGCTGCAACTACAAGGATTTGCGGTTCTGTATGAGAAAAGATTTTGGTCAAGAGTGTAAAAGTTGGCACAATGAAGACAATGACTTCAAGCAAATAACATCCTCTACAGTTCTTACCCATAGGATGATAGTGCTAATGGATAGGAGATGACTGATGAAATCTCAGAAGCTGACTAGCAAGTAGACATACTCACCTAAGTGCAATATGCTCAGTGATGTGAAGGAAGAATGTGAGTGCTCTGTGTAGAAGAGTTTGGATTTGATATCCCGCTTTATCACTACCCGAAGGAGTCTCAAAGCGGCTAACATTCTCCTTTCCCTTCCTCCCCCACAACAAACACTCTGTGAGGTGAGTGGGGCTGAGAGACTTCAGAGAAGTGTAACTAGCCCAAGGTCACCCAGCAGCTGCATGTGGAGGAGTGGAGACGCGAACCCAGTTCCCCAGATTACGAATCTACCGCTCTTAACCACTACACCACACTGGCTCTGTAATGTATTTCATTCTTCTCTACCAGCATGATTCCTGCTTGGCTTGTGCTCATCCCCCTCCTAGGAGAAGAGCAATCTCCAGAAGGGAAGTCTGTTTCTCTTAGAGAAATGACTTCCTATTCTTCAGCTTCTAGTTTCTAGTCTAGAAGTGCTTGAAGACAGGCAGATATTTAAAATGCCTCTCTTTCCAAGGAGTTACATCTCTCTCTCTCTCTCTCTCTCTCTCTCGCTCTCTCGTGGTTAAATATCAGTGTTAGGGCTTTTTTGGTTGTAGCATCCCACTTTTGGAATTCTCTTACCAGAGAGACTCAACTTTGGCCTATGTAACCTTGCCAATGCCAGGTGAAAACATTTGTACTCTCCCAGGCCTTATTTATTTATTACATTTATATACAGTGCTATCTTTTCTTCCAATAAGCTCGACGTGATGTAAATGGTTCTCCTCCTCCCCATTTCATCCTCGCAACATTATCCTGTGTTTTCGTTGGTGTTGTCTTTTGGGAACTGTTCTGGAAACTTTCTGCTGAAGGAGCAGTAGAGAAATCCCTTAAATATGCTGCATAAACATGGGCTCATTCAGGTTTACTTGCTAGTGACTTAAGTTCTGCATAAGCCAGAAATATTATCCATGTTTCAAAATGGCTGTAACATTCCAGATATTAATACAGCATAATGTTACTAAGGAATGAGTGGAAACATATTACATAAACAGCAAATGACAGGCAATATTACAGTCAACACTGATCCTTCATTGGCAGTGAGGGATAGTTTGGCAATTTAATTGGTCCATACCATTCGGTGACTTGCAAGTTTTATTTATTTTTACAAGCTGCTATTTAGTTGTATGGCCATGCTGATTCAAAAATACCTTGCAGCAGCACTATATCTTTAAAGACATTTTATAAAGTATGCATCTTTCTGCCATTCATGTAGTCCTCCTTTCCCTTTTACCTGACATAAATGCTCTGGAAATGTTGTTTACCCCTTCTGTCACTCCAGGGTGTTTTCACTCATGATGTAACTAGAAGACATTTGCACCAGCTTGCCAGGTATCACCATCAAACTATGTTATCATCATGCTAAAAAGTATATTGAAAGAAATATTAGCTAGCCAAGAAAGTGAAGCATTAAAACCCTGTTTAAAGTCTTCAGTGTTAATTTTGGGAGGACCCAGGAACAGATTGTAATATATGTACCTTTAAAAAGAAAAAAGCAGATGACATTTTTATCAACTAACTACAGTTTAGTGGAAGTGAGTGACTTCCCATTATGTTTTGGTCTTTAAACAGCTATAGAAACCCTCAGAGGTTATTTGTATCTGGAAAAAGTTGTGGACAAGGACTGCTTGCTCATCTATTTCCCCACTAACTGCTTTTCCACAGAGGTTTGGTAATCCCAAGATGTTCCCCGGTTGTTGGTTTCAGCCCAGTGTTTATTTCACAAACATGGGGCTGGAACCTAGGTAGTAAATTTCAGGATGAAAGTTACTGGCAAGTGAAGGGTTAAGCACTTGTTTGTCTCCCACAGCTTCTTCAAGGACGAAATATCCAGCATGCTAATGTTACACACCTGTGACGTAACACTTAGACCTGGTTCATAGATCACATTAAACCATGGCTTACCATTACATCTGAACACAGCTCAGTGCTTTAACTATGGTTTGTTAGTGAAAACAAGCCAAAATTTGTTGGCTTACTGACCTTAACTGTGGTTTGGTGTTGCATGTGAGCATGGGGACCACCTTAAGAGTGGTTAATTTCATTACCCTGCCCAAATTTCTCACCAAGCAACAGAGATGCTTGGTAAGAATGCTGGAAAACAAAGAAGTCCTCCTCTCTTCTTGCTGCTGCCTTTCCTAAATTTGATGTAGTGAGGCAGCAGCCAAAATAGATTTTTTGGGGTCAGGCATATTATTGCATGCCACCCAAATCTCTGAGCAGTGTGAGATTTCAAGGTTTCCAGGCACTTACCTAGGGTTCATGTTTCCTTTGGAATGAGGCACAGCGGAGACTGTGGAGTCTTTATGATAAATAGTTTACTTGAACATCTATACAATCTGAGCCTATGATGGAGGGGTTCACAGTATTAACACCCTTAAAGGATCTTGCTTACCTCATAGTCACAGCCTTAGATTTCAACAGAAAATCCGGCATCTCCCAGCTTCCTAGCCTGTCTCCCAGCCTGCAGTCTCCCAGCTTCTAGCTCACATAACAACATTCAACTCTTGCCTTTTTCTTTCTAAGTACCAGCCAGTTGAGGGAGGGGCGGGCACATATTTTGTATCTGGCACAGAACCTTTCCCTTTGTTACCTTAGTGGCCCATACTTGGAGGGTCATTACTTCAGCAGGAAGTTAGCATGACTATTCCAGGAATTGAATCCATTCTGAATTAGAAGGGGGCTCAAGCATACAGCCCACCCCCTCCCTAAATTCATAACATTATTAACATTTGAATTTTTTCATTTATGCTGCAAAGGGTGTAATTAGATTAAACAAAGCCTCATTCTATGGTTTCTCTTTCTGTGCCAGTATTTGGAGCCCTAAGTATATTGAGAAGGTCTATTTAATGTTGTAATTTAGCTCCTAATATGATCCTGTCACTTTTATAATTGGTATTAATCACCAATATATTCTTCGAAGTTAGCTCAGATATGTGTGTGTCTGACTCTCTGCCTAACTTGTTAAATGTTTGAGGGTTCATTGCTGGGAAGTTCCGGCTTTTACTTAATGAGATTTTATGTGGCTTTTTCTGTTTAAGCTGCTTTCATATAAATGTTCCAGATTAAAAGTTTGAAGCTGTAAGAGGCCCAAATATAGTTTCTGTGCTCCATTTTTAGCATGTTAGGAATACTTGAGGCATGCAGTGCTTAGTGTTGTAGTTATTGCTTGGTTTATTGGGGTTTTTTTGACTAGTTAAAAATCATATATTTCACAGATGTAAATATTTGGGTTTACAGCATGTTGGGCTGTTTCTAGACTTGCACATGTGGAAGTCCTATCTGTGCAGTATAGCTTTTCTCGCCACCTTCCCTCTCCTGAGCAGGGGGGTGGGGACATTTGGGACTTGCATGTGATGCGGCATACACGGAGCTCCGGCCTCAACTCATTTTAGCCATTTCCTCCATTCCTGCTGTACCATCTCAAACCACCTCCCATGCCATTGCTGATAATTTCCTAACCCTCAGGAGAGACTTGGGGGGGGGGGGTTTCTACAGCCAGCAGCAGGAAGAAGCAGGCAGGGAAGCCCTGTGATGTGAACAGATTCCTGCTTGTGTTTGGAATCCACATTTTCTTCATTCAAATTTGACCTCATTCACACACACACAAACACACACACACACTTGAAACTGAATATCAAGTCTGCTTGTTCTCATCCATACCAGTGGGTGTTCCCTTCTGCATTTATCACTGCATTCCAAATTGTTGATTCAAATACGTAAATCTGACAAAAAACGGCTGTGTGTTCATGAATTAGCAGAGCAGTTTGCACACCTTTTTTTAAAAAAAAAATTGTGCCCACCTAGGGGTTGCACAGTAGCACACACATGGGAATTTCCAGTTTCATACAAATTTGGTATGTCGTCGGTTTACCTTATGTTCAGTTCGAAAACGGCAAGTATTTCCCTTTCCAAAACAGTAAAATGGTTGTGGGACAATCCATACAGTAATATACAGTGAAATCATGGGGAGAGGGAATGAAGCAGGGAGAGCTGAAGTATTGCACAGATCTGATTGTTGTTGGTTTAAAAAAAAACAAAATCACAACAAAGGTGGTCTCCCAGGAAATAGCCCCCCCCCCCACTGGTGGGACATAACTGACATTAAGAAGATAAAGTATATAAAAAAGAAAAGGTAAAGGACCCCTGGACGGTTAAGTGCAGTAAAGTCGACTATGAAGCGTGGCGCTCATCTTTCTTTTCAGGCCAAGGGAGCTGGTGTTTGTCCACAGACTTCTTTCCAGCTCATGTGGCCAGCATAACTAAACCGCTACTGGCCCACGGAACATAGTGACAGAAGCCAGAGTGCATGGAAACACCATTTACCTTCCCGCCACAGCGGTACCTATTATCTACTTGCACTGGTCTGCTTTTGAACTGCTAGGTTGGCAGAAGCAACAGGAGCTCACCTTGTCACACGGATTCGAACCACCAACCTTCCAGTCAGCAAGCCTAAGAGACTCAGTGGTTTAGACCACAGTGCCACCCGCTTTTTTTTAAGGGAGCTAGAGGTGCTGAAATATACAGAAAGTACTCCTTAAATGCAGATTCTTCTGATCGATTTGAATCTTTTTAGAAGCAGAAGCCATAGGCTTTTCCTTGTTATGTATCTATTGAAAGTCACCTACAATCAGAAATGCATAAGTACTTCATTGGCCATCCATGTCTGAACATTGTGTTGGAATGGGAATTTTCCTTATTTTATATTGTCATTTGAGGCCATGGTTTCAAGAGAGCAGGGATAACCTACCACAATCTGATACACATTTTCTTGCTTACATTCCTATTGTCAGTCAGTAGTGTATCTGCTGTTGGTTATTCACCTGTTGACTTGTTTTCAGGAGTACTGAGGAAAGCACATGTTAAAAATAGCAAGTCTTGACCTGTGTTCCCTTCTTAAAGGAAGAAAAATCATACAAGTTCCAAGATTTTAATTTATGTATTTTCATTTAATATTGTGGTGTTTCTGTCTTCATTAGGTTGTATGCTTCGCCAAAGAAGAAAGTGACTCCATTGCATAAATGTATTAGCCCACTGGTTTGGTGCAGACAGATATTGGATTATCCAACTCCAGATATTGAATGTGCTAAAAAATCATTGATCCATAGGCTTGAACAGACAATGTCAGGTGAGTTTGTGAATAAGCGTTATACTAATAAAATATACAAAATAATATCAGAACTTGATTTTTAAAAATAGTTATGATCCTGTGAGAGTTAGTTTTAAATTCAGTTGACTTCAGGGGGAATATATACTTGAAGTACTTGTAGTAATGTAAAATTTCTGGAAATTTTTCCAGGTTAAAAAACCAAAAACAGGTATAGTTTATTTAGAAAAAATAAGTTACAAATAAGTTTTTGTTACAAATGGAGCTGTAGGGTGCTGAAGCATAAGGAGCCTAGCATCTCTGTGGTTTTGCCAGTTTATGAGGAGCAGGCAAAAAACAATAAAACCAAAATGACCAACCTTATAGTTAAAAATATATTATTTGCTCTGAAAAATCTCTCTCTAAGCTGTCACAATTTGTTACTTCATATTTGCCAACATATTTACCATGGACTTCTAAAAACCGAAGATTTGCCCAGATTGAAACAAGCTTCTGTACTTTCATATGTCAGTTTATGTCTTTTTCTGGTGTTTCCAAACATAGACCAGTTTATTTCACATGCTGCAGAAGATGAATCTGGAGTACATAAAAAAGCAAGAGGGGTTGGGGGCTGTGTTGTGCAAAACCCTTGCCATCATGTTGCAGGAGGGAGACACTTGCCAGAATCCCAGATTGCATTCATTTGCCAAATATGTGAAGATGTTCTATATTCTGCACATGAAAGTACCTTTCTAATATCAAGCTTCTTGATTTTCCTTACGAAAATGGTTGAAACCCCATTGGCCCAGGACCCTTTAATTCTTTTCCCTCCTTTAATGTCACAACTGTTCAAACTGAAGTATTTAGCTCAGTACTTGTTACTTTTTATTTATTCCTTTTTCCTTTGATCTTCCTCCGCTGAGCTCAAAATGGTTTGTGGTTCTCTTAATACTCCATGAGATTAAGGCTTACAGCCTTATGACATTTAAAGTAAACAATTAGCACTGGAACACTGTTTTCCGCCCTCTCTTTTATACAGCTCTCAAGAGACACAGCCTTTATAGTAATCCGTTCAGCACTGTCAATTATGCAAACTCCTATAGTCCAAATGCTGGCAGTCCCTACAGCAGTAGCTTCAACTCTCCTTCCTCCACACCAGTGAAACCTCCTTTAGTAAAACAGCTCATACTTCCTGGCAACTCAGGTAAGGGTCTCAAAAATAATGATCAGATTGTAAAACAACTGTGTAATTCCTGTTTTGCTTTATTCTTGCAATAGTCCTGTGAAATATATAAGGCTACCTTAGACTACAACAAGTGGTCCCTTCCATATGGCCAGAAAGACAGCTTGGGCAACATTTATTTAAAGTTTCCTTTAAAGTCATATTTTTGTGTTCCGTGCCATTGCTATTTCTGAACAGCTATGTGTTCCATGCCATTCCATTGCTATTTCTGAACAACTATGGTCAGTTTCAAAACATGCCACCTTCAACCCATGAGCTATGAGTTTAAACTAAACTGTAGTTGGTGATAAACCATGGTCCTGAGTTTGGATGCACTAATAAGGCAACTTTACAGAAAAGTGAAAGTAATTTTTGTATAAGCTGCTGTCTGGCCACATGAGAGGAGAGGGAAGGAGGGAATGCTTGAATTCAATGTTCTCTCTGGCTTGTTCCACTTCATGCAAATTGTGTGCGAGATATGTGGATGTGAGTACTATGATTCTAAGGTGAGCCATGAACTTCCTACAAACCTGAGCATGTCCACACCCAACATTCCAGAGACAGTACAAATGTGTTCTAGATGGGTCACACTATTTCTTTTATTTGGGCAAGGGGTGGGGTATTTGATTCTTACAAATTCATTCTTCTTTAAACCCCTGGAAGCATAATTTTGAATGATCGTTTTTGTGACTGGATGCCCAGATCCAAGTTAGGGGCAAGTACTCTTTGGCAGAGATTTAAAATCACAAAATATGCAGCATGGTAAAGCTGTATATCATTCTCTTAAAATATGTCTAAGTTCTTTTCAAAGTTGCCGCTTCTTTAGCACAGAAAAAGACCACATGTTTGGTAAGTTTAAAACTGTGGTTTATTGGTTCAGGAATACAGTAAAGGCTTGTTAGAGCCATGTGGTCTTGAGTTTGGAGCAACCAGCTCACACCTCTTTAAAGGCTGCACTTCTCAGGTAGACTGAAGGTGAACAATAGGTTTGGTTACCTTCCCACCAACCTAGTTAAGGCTGGCAGGACAGCTTACTCTGTAGTTATCCCACGGTTTTGTCTTTACTTAATATCAAGGAATGGAGTGTAAATTAATGGAACCTGAATACACTTTCAGAATGGTGAATTGAGTTGAATTGAAGCCTGAATTGATTACATAAATTAATGGCACTGTAAAAACATTTCAGTGTTTCATCCAACTTAATTCTGTTTCTTCAGTGACATTTTCTTCATCTACACTAAGCAAGGTTAATGCCATTTGACTCATTGTAAATTGATCTGCACCTAAACCAAGGAAAAGCGAATTTATGGGTCAGCTAGCTTCAGTTGCTTTTTCTAGCACAGTCCCCACCACCACCGATTAAATTACTGAGACAAGTAATATAGTACAAAAGTTTTAGATTTTTTTTCTATTTTTTCCTTTTCTTATAGGTCATTACAAAAATTCAGCAGATAGAAATCCTCCGTTGAGCCCGCAATCCTCTATAGATAGTGAACTAAGTGCTTCAGAAATGGATGAAGATTCAATTGGTTCAAATTACAAACTAAATGACTTAACAGATGTGCAAATTTTAGCACGGATGCAAGAGGAAAGTAAGTATGCTTGTGGGTCATTTCAGTCACCAATCTTGACTTAGATTTTTGGAGAACTGGTTCTTGCTCTTCATTTCATATGAAATGTATATGTATCATAATCCATAAAGTTATTATCTGAGCTGTCCTAATGTCTACCTATTTCAGAGACTGAGCAGAGGAAAGTGAGGGATCCTGGAAACAAATAGGCCAAGAAAATATTTTTTGGGGTGTGTGGAAACAACATCATCCAATGTGAATGGCCACTTAGACCGAGAGCTCCAGCTCTGACTGCCACATACATAGGTTTCAATCCCAAAAATCTGGATTCCTTCTTTCTTTGATTTATCACTGTCAGACCTGTGATGGGCTTTCCACTGATGCAAGAATGGTTCCTAACTGCATTTTTTAAAGCAAGGAATTTCTGAAGGTGGGGCAGATCCTTTGAAAGAGACATCTATCATGGCAGGAAAGGTAGAATACCCAAAGGGGCAGGTGGAGTTGAATCTGCCGGTGCATAACCGGGAGCCTTAAAGTGCACTCCTGGTTGTGCATTTGTATTGACAGCAAATCTCCTTTGCTAATAAGCTGATAGGTGCTGATTTCAAACACACTGAGATTTGCTGTATTCCCTGAGAACTCTGTAGCACACCTGATCCCAGCAGAAAGCAGAGCTTGAAGTCAGCACTTTTCCACAGATATGCACGGACTTCAAGTTCCACTTTTTTGCTGAGATCAGCTGGCTTTGGAGTCCACAGCCAGCCAATCACAGCAGAAAAGCAGAGCTTGAAGTCAGAGCTAATTGTCGGAAACATCTTGGTTTTAATTTTTCTTTCTGGCACAGCTTGTCGTGCTACAAAGGAAAGATGGGTCACTCGATGGTATAGTAACAGTGTTAAAATGGCCTACCAAGGGTGGAAGAATGCAGGATTGGCCCACTGGCCAGATCCAATTTCCTACTCCTCCCTTCAGCAGTCTGAATTATTCTTGACTGATCCACCTGTCTTCCAGCCACTGACATGCATGCCCTGGTCACATCCAAATTGGACTATTGTAACACATATTACATAGGGCTTCTTGTGCAAATAACTAGGAAATATTAGGTCATGCAAAATATGGTGGCCAGATTAATTTCTGAATCTGATTTATCTTATCATATCACCCCAGTTTTGTTTCAACTGCACTGGTTTCCAGTTCATTTTTGGACAAAATCCAGTTTCAGTTGTCCCTCTCTTTTAAATCATGTGAGCTAAGAAGGCCTTTTTATTTTACTGAGTTTTTAATTTGGGTTAAACTACTTACTCCTGGTTTTATCCTGAATTGTTTTACATTACTCTTAGTGTCAGTAATGAAAACTGATGTTAGTTATTTGAACAGTTTTGTTTTGTTGTTTGAACTGTCCTTGTGGTATTTTTATTTTTTTTTTGTAAGCAGCTTTTGGTTTCTTTTAGGGAGAAAAGCAGGAAATAAAATTTTAAAATAAATAATTTCCAAGTTAGATGCCCACCTTCCTTTGAGGAAGAGAAGCTCTTTGTTTATACAGTGGTACCTCGGGTTAAGAACTTAATTCGTTCCGGAGGTCCGTTCTTAACCTGAAACTATTCCTAACCTGAAGCACCACTTTAGCTAATGGGGCCTCCCGCTGCTGCCGCGCCACCGGAGCACGATTTCTGTTCTCATCCTGAAGCAAAGTTCTTAACCTGAAGCACTATTTCTGGGTTAGCGGAGTGTGTAACCTGAAGTGTATGTAACCTGAAGCGTATGTAACCCGAGGTACCACTGTCCTAACTTAGAGTGACTTTAGAATCAAATGGGATCGGACAAGCAAATAGAACTTGAGTTCAGACAATGTCCTTACTGTTGTTAGGTCTCCGGCAAGAATATGCAGCTACTGCTTCTCGGCGTAGTTCCGGCTCGTCGTGCAGTTCTATGAGGCGAGGTACATTTAGCGACCAGGAACTTGATGCGCAGAGCTTAGAAGATGAAGAAGACAGCTGCCATCATGCGGTGCACCCAGCTGTTAACCGGTTCTCTCCATCACCACGCAATTCACCACGGCCTTCACCAAAGCAGTCCCCACGGAATTCTCCTCGCTCTCGATCACCTGCCAGAGGGATGGAGTACAGCAGAGTGTCACCTCAGCCTATGATTACTCGTTTGCAGCAGCCTCGTCTTTCACTTCAAGGCCATCCCACAGATTTACAGACTAGCAATGTCAAAAACGAAGGTAAAGGGCTTGGTCTCAAATTTTGTGTGTTGAGCGCCCTAGGAAGTTGCGCGGTAGGTAGTATTTAAAACCAACTAAATGGTGTGGCGTTTCTGCTGAATCTGCTGAGAATCATGCAAGAACATGTAGAATAAGCATCTTGACCATTCTTTTCATTAGGGCGACTAGAAATCAATAAGCTTAGAAAGTAATTGAGCTAATTGAGTTTCGGGTAGATATAGATTATTGTCATTCTGTGGCTGCTTAGTTTTCAAATTTCTCTAGTGCTGAGCAGTTTATCAGAAAGGCAGAATATCTAGAAGAAGAGTGACACAAAACCAATGCAAATATAAAATATTTACTACACATAAAACAGCAAAATAAGCATGGTTTATGTGATAAAAGACAAAACCAAGCAACAGAATGACAGATAAATAGAAAGTTTGGGTTGGAATGCTTTAGCAAAGAAAAACACACACAAATGCTTCCCTAAAATGCTGTTTTCAAACTAGATGACAAAATGAGACCTAGCTGGGCTTACCTGTGGAAGGAATACTACAGGATTGATGTCAGATCTGAAAAGGGCCTGCCCCTTGCATTCAGTCATTAGCCTGGTCCACACTCGACATGAAACTACCTTTTAAAATAAACTTTGGTTTAATGCACCAGAAGTCCTTGCTTCTCTCCTGCTTTTGACAGTGCCATGCATGGAAGGAAACAAGCTTGAAACAAGACATTTTGGCTTGTTGTGACATGCAAAGCTGGACTCGTTTTTTTTCTTCTGTAAACAAAACCACAAAAGGAAGCTAAGGTTTGTTCTTGGCTTACTGTTTATGGTTTATGTGGACAAAACAAATCACAAGCCCAGGTTCATGTCAAGACAAAACAGATCCGGGCTTGTTTTCTCCCCTTCCGCTGCACAGTGAGGAGTAGGAGAGGAGCAAGGTGCTTAAGTACATTAAAGGTAAAGGGACCCCTGACCATTAGATCCAGTCGTGGCCGACTCTGGGGTTGCGGCGCTCATCTCGCTTTATTGGCCGAGGGAGCCGGCGTACAGCTTCCAGGTCATGTGGCCAGCATGACTAAGCCGCTTCTGGCGAACCAGAGCAGCGCACGGAAACGTCATTTACCTTCCCGCTGGAGCGGTACCTATTTATCTACTTGCACTTTGATGTGCTTTTGAACTGCTAGGTTGGCAGGAGCAGGGACCCAGCAACAGGAGCTCACACCATCGTGGGGATTCAAACCGCCGACCTTCTGATCGGCAAGTCCTAGGCTCTGGTTTAACCCACAGCGCCACCCACGTCCCTTTTAAGTACATTAAACCGTAGTTAATACTAAACTACAGTTTAGTATTAGAACATACGAAAGAAAAGTATACATTTTCAAGCAGGTATGGTGAACCATTGTCTGCCTAGAGGCTGTAATCTCTTCTAGGCCACATGACTGTGGGTGGGGATAGAAGCCAAAGTGGGTAGAGTAATAAATACTATTTTTACCTTTATACAATAGGCTTGTTTACACATACTTTCCTCTCTGGACTCCATCCAGACAAGCAGAATTCATTATTAGAGTTCAAGGATACCTTCTAGCAAGGCACAAACATTCAAGGAGGATGCAAAACAGGGCCAGTGAAGGGTTTGGCGCTCCTGAGAGTGTCCTGGCCCTAAGGTTCCCCATCAGTGAATTAAAGCAACAAGTTCAACGTACACTTGGCTTTTGGCTGATCTAACGTATGGGAAACATTGCATGAGAATTTAAATAAGGCAGCTTAATTTGATTCTTAAAACTCTGTTTCTAACATCTGGAAATGTAGAAGTTAAACTTGTGGGAGGAACATGAGCATTCTAGTATGGTCGGTTTTACAAAATACAATAATAAGATTCTTTAAAAAACACACATTCCTGACATTTTTCTAGTAACAAAGTTTCTCAAGTCATTTTCTCCAAAGGACACAATAGAATAAAATATTGGTTAGATAGAGCTGTCTGTGTATGTTCCCCAAACCATAAGTTCATTACAGAAGAAAAAGGTCACCAAGATGTTTGTTGCGTCAGCATTTCCATTTTAAAGGATGTTACCATTTTGAATGGAGTTTGACGAGGTATGTAGAACCGGCACTTGCTTGATGATCACTCAGCTTGGCTTCTCACTTATTATGGAGAGCTCTACCCTGAGCCTGTGCTAGGAGATCCCACAAACAATATTTGGCAGTGTTATTTTTCTGTTGTTGTTGGATGTTCCTGTTCCTCAGCTTTTCAATTGCTTTCGATATCTTGAGGCATGCCTTCAGATATCGTGCATTGCAAACTCTGCTTTGTGGAAGGGGGAGGGGTAAGGCCAGTTCACTATATAGTAAGTTTGCCTGTAAATGGATCCATTAACTCAGCTCTTTAAAGCTTTCATGTTCCTGTTCACTCCCTTCAGTTCCTTGTTTTTAAAGCTTTGAGTTCTGTACATCCTCTGCATCACAATCCTTGCTAATGCTGCCATAGCTGAATTGCATGTTCTTTAGGGCCTATGTTCAAGGGACAGCCTTAGAAATTGAGGCCTGGTGAAGACAGGTGGGGTATTTTGTCTTGTCCTCCCAGCACCTTTACCCATGCCCATTAGTTATCGGTCATTTGTTTTTTCTTTAAATAATCAACATAATCCTGTGGCTATGTACAGATGGTACCTTTTTCCCAAAGCTTGAAGGTTATAAAATATAGAAACATTATTGCTCACAATACACACGTTCTCTCCCTGTGGTATCTGTCTAAACAGGTTTTGCCACTATCTCCTGCACATGCTCTAAGCCCAGAATGGGACAACTTTATAAAATGTAACAGAAGTCCTCTTGCAGAAGTCCAGTAGAAAAGAATTTACAGTTCTCAGAGGGGAGGGATGTGCTTTGACACTGGCAACCTTGCTAACCTTTTCCTTGCACATGCTTTTAAAAATCGAACCTGGAAAAGCTATCCGTTTGGGAGAAGATACTGGTTAAAGTCTCCAGCTACTGGAGAAGGTTTCTATTCCACTTTCTGCGCTGAGGTTCTACTTCATCCTTTTGCAATCCACTCTTTGCAATCATTATCAAATGTGCTGCCTGCTATTGACTGTTCAGGGTGGGTAGAATAGGGAGCCAGAAAGAAAACTGAGATGGACTCTAGAAAGGTGAGTAGCAGCACTGGTGCTGAGGCCCAAGATCAGGTTGTGATGTGTTGAACGGGGAGGGGAGACAGATAATTGTATTCCTGTTCTGCAGAGTTCATCAAAGCATGTGGTCAGTGCCATGTTTGCTTGTTGCACCTTGTGACTCTTGACACTCCTGATATAGCAAAAGTAATAGTGTGGCTGGAAAAACAAAGCTTTCCCTCATTTCTTTTCACGTTCTCCTAGCATATCCCATGCTTTCTTGCATGCGCATATACCCATGCACCATGCTGCTGGTTGAAAGAATCAGACAATTCTGAAATCTGGTTCAGACAATCGTCTGTTTCCTTCTCCCAAGTCTGACTAGACAGTGCGTTTCCTCGGTACAAATGAAAATGCATGTTGCTGCTACATTTTTTACTTTGGTTCAAGAAATGCCTAATGTTCTCAATGCTGAGTTAAGGGCCCTCGTCTGCTTTCTACAGTAGTGGACTTGGGGGCTAGGGAAAAGCTGACTGCTGCTACAGTTGTCTGTCCATAGAGATGTCAGAGTGTCCATGGTGATGCTGCCCCACATTTCTCTGATAGTGCGCTGCTGCTGTAAAAGGCCATAGCTTGTGTGGCAAGGGATCCTGTCCAGTTCTTTCCAACACTATAGCAATACAACTGCATGTGGTGGGAGTCCGTCTGCAGGGGTGGAATTTATTTTTATATATGTTAGGCAAATAAATGCAGCTTCTGAAATCTATTTCTGGTATAATTTTTGGACAGGATGAACCAAGCTTCTTTGAACAGTCCTGCTAATCTTTTCTTTCCCCCTTACTTGCATTATTTTTTCTTGCTTTTGAACTTTTCCATTTGTTTCTCCTATACTGCCCTCAAAAGCAGGGACACACGAACAACCAACAAGAAATTTTGCTATCTGTCTTAAAGAAATCCCACAAAGTAGATGGGAAATGGGTGTGCCACACATGAAAACTTGTGGAATCAAATGTATTTGAATGACGTAAATCGTAAGGAGACAGACATGCCTCCAAAGCAGCCAAGGGTGCTTGACTTCTTTAAGTCTGTTAAATTTAAGAGGTCATTCAAGGAAGCTGTTGAATGTTATGTTGGCCCACGGTCTTACGTCTAATTCCATGGCTTTATTTTACTCAGTTGGCCAGTAACGGTTGACTTTTTCAGTGTTCTAATGACCAATTCAGCACATGGCCAGAGACTATTCTACATATTCAAGTTTGCACTTCAATTTACTTTCCAAGAATTTTCAGACATAGGGATATAGTTGTGCACTGTTCATTTTAATGTAAAGCAACCACAACAACAATTAGAAGAATCTGCCTTTTGGAGAAAGCAACAGTTAACATAAACCAATATTTAAAAAATCCTTCTAGTAGCACCTTAGAGACCAACTAAGTTAGTTATTGGTATGAGCTTTCGTTTGCATGCACACTTCTTACAAATAACTAACTTAGTTGGTCTCTAAGGTGCTACTGGAAGGAATTTTTTTATTTTGTTTCAACTACGGCAGACCAACATGGCTACCTACCTGTAACTATAAACCAGTATGCGCTGTTGTTTTGAAAGCATGTTTCCTTTTAGGAAAAAGTCAGAAAAGAATATAACTATGCTTGTTGAAACTGGTCCTTTCAAAAGTGAATCTTAACTAAATGTTAACAGTAAATACGGTATGAAGAATCAAAGGGCAGGTTGATTCGATACAACCATAAAATCGATTAGCATGAGCAAAGACTTGAACGTCTATGTTAAGTTGAAACTAAAATAATGTTAATTTATTGGATTCTTCATGTCTAAACTCTGATTTCATTTGAGGACAGTAGAACCTCTCTCATAATTTTAATGTGGTGCTTAAATAATAGTTTTATGCCATCGTGAAGGTGAATATTAGTGATATCTCTGCATGGTGGGACTTTTAAAACCTGAAATTTTCCAGTGAAGTCCCATTTAGCTGATAAAGCAAGAAGCATTGTATTTTTAAATATTGTAAGCCACTTTGTGGAAGATTTCTTAAAAAAACAGAGTATAAATCAAATAGATAGATAGACAGATAGATAGATAGATAAAATGTTTGTTTACTTTCCCAAAACAACAGTGACATATGTAAAAAGGTCATATTCTCATGACATAACTGTCACGAGCAAATGATGGTAGAGAGAAGATGAAAAGGCAGGCCCTGACCTATCTACAGGGAGTCTGTATGCATACTACCGTATGTGTTTTGGCTTTCTTGGTACACATTTGCTCACCATGGTTATGTTGAGATATTAGAATGGAGTAGACCAGCAGTTTTCTTACTTCTATACCTTAAATCCTAACCCCTCCTACCAGACAGCAAAGTAAGTTTTGCTCTGGATGAAAACAATAGACAAATTGTACTTGCTTTCTCCATCTCTGTCTCTTTCTCTTTTTACATTTTTTAAATCTAGTAATTTTATGTCTTACTAGATTTAAAATTTCTTAGATGTAATTTTGATAATGTAACATTAGGCAGATACCATTTGTTTTATGCAGATTTGTAGCAAACTTTGCCCCCTCTCATCCTTCGGGTTTCAGGTTGCCATGATTTTTCAGTCTCCTGCATCAGATGGTATGTTGTGGTGTTCTTGTTGTCTTTCCTTAATACAGAGAAACTAAGGCGTAGTCTTCCAAACCTGTCCAGGACATCTAACATCCAAGTTGAGTCTGTGAAAAACAGTAGAAGTGACTCAAACTTTCAAGTGCCAAATGGAGGAATATCTCGTATTCAACCTCAACCCTCAGCCAGTAAGTATCTTTACAGTGATGCTGTAAACACAGCTTCTGAGAGTCGGCTGAAAACAATTAGCAGCGTGTTTACAGTTTCATGGTAAAGGGATTAGACATTTCATTCAAATAATGCAAGCTTGGTCAGATCTGATGTATGTTGGGCAAATGAGCATTTCAAAGTACAGTACTTAACAATGAAGTATGTGTACATTGTCATCCCACATTACTTCTCAATATTGATGGTTTCCTTAATGTCTGCTGTCCTGAATAGGAAGCCTTTTCTGCAGCGGTCTATCTTGAACATTCCATAAGCTTGGTCTCTGTGGTGCAGTGGGTCAGTGGGTCTGGCTGTTAACCAGAAAATTGGTGGTTCAAGCCCACCCAGGGACGGCTGTGTTCAGAATTCCTGCATTGCTGGGAGTTGAACTAGATGACCCTCAGGATGCCTTCCAACTCTTATGATTTGCTAATCAAGTATAACTTGCATTTTTTATATTTAGCTTGCATTCATTATCATATAACATGCCTAAGCAAGGAATTATAAAGCCCCTAGCTGTGTTGCAATTTGCAGCTACACACTTTTGATTCCCGTAGAGTGATAGTAAAAAGTGTACTAATGGTCCCCATTCCCATCTTTTGCCATTCTGCCTTGGTACAAATTTCAGTGAGTATCAATCAGTTGAAGTGAATATGAAATGAGAGTCAGGATTTCTGTTACCTCCAACAGATGAATGACTGAAAATTATGACATCAAACTCGAAAGTGCCTGCCAGCCTGAAAGATGGATTATAAATTTTAAAAGAAAGAAGTTGCATTTTCATACTGTTATTTTCACTTTTCAGCATTCATAACTGAATTACTTGGATCAGCTGCATACATAAACATTTTCAGAGGCATACACTTTTATAGCCATAAGCTTGTCTCCTGAATTGTTTTGAAACAATAATTTTATGTAGAAAATATAAAAATATTCACCAGAGGAAAATGTCCTTTTGAACAAAGTTGGCACTCCTTTCTGCAAATGATAAATTGTAAATTACTATACATAATGCAGTAACCTGAATAGAACTATGGGATCAAAGAGTAATAAGGTCTTGTATGAACAGGTTCTTTTATTAATAGAAGTTGAGGAGTAAGTGTTTACACATCCATGTTGCCAAAGAATCAGCCTCTCCCTTAATGGAACTTGTCTGAAAGGTGTGCCTATATAAATGGAGATCTGATTTTTCAATTCCTGATCATAATTTCCTTGTTTGTAAGGAAGGATATGAATCTGGTCCATATCGTGCAAAAATAATGTAGGCAGTGCTTTCCTCTTTTGGGACTGAAATTTGCATTCTCCTTCCCTTTTGAAAAACTAACAAATGCTTTCTTGGAAGCCTATAGCCAAATTACACACAAATACATGGTTTAACATTATGTGTACCTTTGTTTAACTGCAGTTAGCAACGACTCAGGTGGCCTAGTCAGTATTTGGCCTATGGTTGGTAGAGAGAGGGAGCTTAATCACCCTCCCTAGTCCTCATGAAAAATCCCCCTAAAAACTTTTATTTTAATCACAAGGGAAATTTCTCTAAATGTTAATGGGAGCTTCTCTGTTTTTTTAAAAAAAACAGCATGTCACTTATCCTTTTTGTGTTGATAAGGGATGGGGTACCTGTTAGATGACCTTGCTGGCTGGTATTTATAGGAGCTGGAGTCCAACAACTGTAGGGTCACAGGTTCTGCATCCCTGTGTATATATAATTTTGCATATGGAGGTTCTGCTCTTTGGGGTTTTCCTGTATTTACTGGTTTTTATTTGTTTATTTTTGCAAAATACTACTGTACACTTGCAGTGGTCTTCTCACTCTTTCCTCAGGTTGTTGCACTGCATGAGATTAACTTGGGAGGGTTGCATTGATTTCTGCCTTTTCTTGCTTCTAGTTCACTCCCTAATTTATACTTTCACAAGCTGCAGTACCTAACATATGGGTGGTGGTAATGAAAAGTATGTCGGCAGTGTATCAGTGTAGTTTAAGCTTGTATAAACATAAATATATTTCATTAACATACCTGTAGAAGTCTTGATGAAAATTATTTCAAACCTTTGCAAATGTAAGTTGAAAATTTGGATTTGTTTGGCTTCATTTTCCGTCCTGTTCAAGGCTTGTTCTAGCTCATGAAAAATGGGCACCTGAACATTCTGTAGCTCTCGTACAAGTTAGTAACCTCCTTATGGTTCCATTTTCTTAAGTGTGGTTTATTCTGAAACCTTGTTTTAAACTATTAAGTAGCACAGAAGGCAAATTTTGCAGTCTTCTACCAAACTGAAATTGTAGAATGAAAAAGGTGTTAATTTAGCTATTGACTGATATAGTGGAATCAATGTGAGCAACTTTCTCAACAAATGTATTACTGAAGACATAAGTCATGCACAAGAAATGCTACCATAGCAGCGTCACATTCATCTGTAAGTTCTTAGACTCAAAACGTTAAATTTCTGATTTATTAATTATAATGCACAACTCGCTACTAAAATCACCCTCCTTTCCAAAGGATTGGAAAGTTGCCAGTATAAAACAAAATGTTTATAATGGGGTCAGTAGTATTTAACTTGTTCCAAACTTATTTGGACATTTTGCATATTACGCCAAGCTATTTCAAATGGTAAACGCTTAAGCAGATTCTGTGGAACTCTACAACTGAATCAGTTAGCAGTACAGTGGCAGATGTTTGATCATGCGCAAAGCGGCTTTTAATTATAACTTGACGTATACATCGAATTGATTCCAACTACCTGGGAAACAGTTTGTGAAGTTAAAAGGAGGTGTGGCAAATTCAAGGTTAGGAATCTCTAAAGGGTTGGAAATAAAATAGCTGTACAAGTTGATAGTGCACCAGTATTAGAAACACTATGTCTTATTCTGGTCACTGGTCACTCAGTCTCCAGAAGGATATCTTAATTCTAGAAATGTCACAAAAAACGTGTGGCAAAGATGAATGTGGGCTGGAACAAGTATGGAGCAGCATGTGTGTGAAAAGAGAAATTATCCCGAACACTAGAATTGGGATAATCCAATTAAACTCCCAGTAGGTTTAGAATATACAGAGGAAGCATATATTAATGCAGTCTGTGGAATGAATGGTCACAAGATGTCTCTTTCTAAACCAAGACATTTTTTGTGAGATTCCTAAATGCTTCTCTCCATCATTGAAGGCAAGATACTAGGTGGGCTTTTTCTGGCATTGTTTAGCAAGGCATTTCTTGCCATGAGTTAAATACTTGATTTGAAACTGTATTTTGATGTTACTTGTCAGAGAAAGTGTTGGTTGGGTAACATACCCATGGCTTTTTATACATCATTAAAGCAAACAGTATATCCTACATGTCTGTCTATCTGCTATAGAAGGTTGTGGGCTGAACTATATTTGTAAGAACTAATATTTATATTTAAATAGTTTTTTTCAGTCCATAAGATTATTATTTTTTAAGTAAGCCACACTTTTTAATGGCATTATTGTTGTTGTTTATTAGATTTATATATGTGACCTAATAGTGGAATCATAAATACAACCCCCCTTGGCTCTGTAAGGGGAGTTCAGGAGAAAACAGTGCGTGGGGGGAAGGAAAGGAAAGATTGTTCCATTGGGCCAGCAGAAATGCTTACGCTGGTGGAACATTTGCAACAGTGCAACATTCAATTCCTCCCCACAGAATTGACTTCTGAATAGCCATGCTTAAGTTTGTACCGTCAGAAAAAGTGGGCACATCCATTTATCCAAAGCAAAAAGAACGCATTTCTCCTTGCTGAAGGGAAGGGAGATGGGGAACCAAAGATAAATAAGTGCTTCTTGGTGTGTATTAACAATTCAATGTAGCAGTAGTAGAACACCATTTCCTCAGTTACACTTTCATCTAGATAATTCTCATTCTAGTTCTCAATGCCATGTTGCTCAGCATAGTCATAAACCTAGAGAAGTGCGGGGCAGGTTCTTGTGAAGCCTGCTTTTGACTTGATCTATGTTTAAGGAGAAGGCTACAGACTTCTGCAGTGCCTCAATTTTTGCATGATTCCCCCCCCCTCCTTGTCTTCATCTATCTGAGTTTTGTTATTTGCCAAGCTGAGTTAAAACTCATTGTGCTAGTAAACTGCTGAGAACCTGGCTTTAATCAGGATCCTTAAAATTCAAGCGACTTTAAGAGCATATCTCATTTTGTTTTAATCTGGATTAGCAGTTGCCGAGTGCAACACTGATCCTATGAGATATTTCACACACAAGAAAGATGGGAAAGGCTTGGCTGAGCTCCATGTTTCTTTCCTACAAGTTACTTAAGTTTCTTTAACGTATATGTGACTCAGAAATATATATATTTATTTTGACTTAAGTTAGAACTGTGTCTGAGGATGACAGTTGCAGAGGACCACCATATTGTGTTGAATTCTCAGCCATACTTGAATGCTTTTCAAGCATTGATTTGCCTCTATGGTCCTCTCTATCTATGGCAGGCATTAGCTTACAAAGAGACCTCTTAGATACAGCAGCTGGCTTTAGATGACATTTTGTTGTTTGAGCTTGTTCCTGACTTTTCTTTATACATCAGAATTAGTTTTTGATTAAAGCAGAAATACTAGCTTCAATAAGTGATCAGTCTTGTGTGAATTCCTGTGTATAAATATGCATATATATGTACATACATATTATGACACATTTTCTTCAACTTCAGAAGAAAGAAGCTATGTTCCTGAATTGACTATTTGGAGCTGAAATTTTGTGTCTTTTGTTGAGTTAAATGTGACGGTTGTGTTCTGAATTTAACCTTGCACTGATTTGGCTGTGGCATGTCTGGCTGGTGGTTTGTTTTCACTTCTGGGCGTGTGGATTATTTTTGCCTCCTTGGGCTTTGGCCTGCAAGAAACTCTTTGCCTGCTAAAATGCTTAACACAGTTTGTACCATGAAGCATCTGACATTTACCTTTGCAATCCTTCTTAGTGTGGTGAGCATCACTTCTGTAAAGCAAAGCAAAGCAAAGCACTCCTCCTCCACTACTACTACTACTACTGGAGCCGTAACAGCTTTTGAAAACTGTTATGCTTTTTTTGCTTCCTGATTTTTCCTAGGTAGATAAGGTCCTAAAATCTTAAGTGAACTTTGAATTCATTATCTTCTCTCTTTAGACAGATATGACATGTCTTTGTTTCAACAGCTCTGCAAAGGCAGAAAAAAATGCCCCGTGTTGCCTTCAAAACCAAACAGCTACTTCCTACTCCAGCTACCAAAGGAGGTAAATTAGCTTACAGCCATTTAATGAAATCCAGTTAAATTCAGAAAATTGTTCCCTTGTGCTTAGACTTATGCAGTTGAAATAATGCAACTGGAGTCTAACAGCAAGTGCTTTTATTGGTGAATGTAATGGCATAAATGCTCCTTTATAGAACATTTCAGCATTGACTATTGGCTAGCTGTTGACTGTTGTGATCTTCCTTCATATGCTTCTTATGAAAATAAATGCTAAGTTTTAGCAAGCTTTGATCTTAAAACTTATCAGCACTGCTTTAGGATTGCTTAAATACCTTAACTGATAAAATAATCAGTTGTGTTAGAATTTATCCTATGTTCTGCTTTAGAAGAATAAGAGTAGGTTATATTAAGTTGGGGCAAACTCATGTTTTCTAGGTTTAGAGATGGTGCCTATACCTTTGTTTTGGGCAATAGCACTGCCCACTGTCTTGGAGTTCTCAAAAGACTGGATATGATTTTAAAGAACTCATTGATTACTCTTACCTCTTAATGGTTTTACAATTCAAGAAAAGTTAGTGCTAAGCTAAATTCTAAAGAGAACAGCTATTTAATTCAACTTGCCTTCTTCTTTATTTTAAAGTAGCAGGCATATTCAGAACAGTTCTAAGGTTGCCTAACACTCTCCAGATAGACCTTTAATTATTGGGTCCTTAGTTGTCATTTTTATTCAGTCTTCTTTGTAGCCTGTTTGGGATAGCTGAACCAAATTCTTCAAGCCTGGAAAACTTGGATACTTTTCAGAAATTAACAACTGCTCCTGGTTGAAGGTGGAGCTGTTGGTTTAGACTTAGGCAGATTATCTATCCCATTGTGTTGCCCTTAACTTCAATATTCTTTGTATAAAATCAGCACACATCATTCAAAACATCTGCTTAATACTTTGGTTCATAATACATAATTTCAAAATATAGCTTGCATTTGTCATTGCTAAATGAGATATTTTAAAGAACATTTTTTCTAAGTATTTTGAAGCAGAAACATTTGCCAAGTGCAGTGCATTTGCAGAATACACATGTAGCATTTTCAAAGAATTCTGCCTTACGTCTATTATTCATGTCATTTTGGTTTGGCTCCCTATTAAAAGTTTATAATCTTAGCCAAATTATCTTTGGAGAAGCTTCTTCATGTTCATATTGCTATGACTAGGTGTGTAGAAAGTTTTTGTGGGTACAGTGTAAAGCTAGTCAGTTCCGAATTTATGTGATTTGGTACAATAGTTTTTTGAAAGAATGATTTCTTTAGACGCAAGGTCTTGAAGCCCATTATCTCAGTTCTTTTTGTTCTTGGACCATAGCATTGTTCTAATTATTTATTGATATTTTGTGATACACTCAATAGCAGTCCAGACTATTTGATCATTCACAAAGCACATTTTGTCTCAGAATTTTATTTTGGACTTAGGGCTTTCTGTGTCCTTACTCCTGAAACACCAGTCCTTTTTCTGCTTAGAATGGTTAATGGATGGATAACCTAAATGTCTTCTTCCACCTAAGTTCAACAATATGCTACTTCTCTGGCCCTATAAAATACCTCTAACAATCTCTTGCATTTGTTTTAGAATACTGTAAATTCCTTTTTAAAGCAGGAAATGACAAGTTTAGGTTGTGTGGCATACTTCACTGCAGTTATTTACAAGAAGCTATAATTCTCCTTTCCTTCTTATATCAGGATGTTGCTTGCTGATCAGTACTCTGGGTGGGTCGGTCGGTAGACACAGATAGATTATACCTATAGGGCTAAGATTACGCAAGGTATTTATTCTCAACACACGTGTTGTTGTTTGTTACTACATATTCCTCCATTATTATTATTTTTGCAATGCTTGCCTTAAGTGAAGGGCCATCATTATGTCATATATGGGAGACCATTCAGTTTTGCCTTGAGATTATTAATATTGAAAAGTATCAGTGTGGATAGTTTCTCTAGAAGCGTGGATGTTCATAGATGTTTTGTAAGCAAAAGGCTTCTGTGTAATGGAATTAACTAGGCAGTCTATTAATAATTACATAAAGCTGGTCAGGGTTTGGAGCTCAAACAAAGAAATTCTTTTTTGAGCCACATGCTTCCTCTTGTAAAGGACCTTTTGTTACAGCAAAATTCACAGCTGTGTGCAGTAAGTGGGCAGAGTGGGGTGTTGGAAACTGAAATATTGTATAAAGTGAGCTTGGATGGTCTTTCTTATAATTTGAATAGAAAGGACTAGGGAATCTAGTTTTTGTTTTATTTTAAAGGGTATGTGAGACTGTAAGAATTTCCAAAAAAAAAAAAAAACATCTTCAGTTTTATTCATAAAGCTCACGTTATAAACATTGTTCAGTTGTTCCAAAAACCTTTTCCTGTAGCACACTGAAACTCCATCCATTATTTCATTACAGGTTCAAAGCCTTTTAAATCCTGCAATTACATTTGAGGTTTCTTGTACTTTTTTACTTTTCTTATTTAGGAGTTTTTGTAGTTATTGGTCTCTTCTGAAACAGCTCACTTGCTTTTGGCTTTTTGCTGCCTGGGGTGTTTGTTCATTGTCTGATCATTGGCTTGTCTTGTTCCATAATGCCACTGTGGAATGTTCCCCCAGAAACATGCCAATAAGGATTCTCTATACACCTTTATCTTTTCTCAAGATGCTGTAGCCTGTGTAATTTGAGGGTCATGGGAGTTTTCAGAGCTTTAAGAGCAATTCAGACTTGGTTATGTGAATTTAGATTCCAATAATTTCTAGTGTGAGTTTGTAGTATTTTTTTTTTATTTATAAACCCTGCCTTCATCATATTGATTCCAGCATGTAGTTCACCTCTGTGAAACACAAGGTCTAGCTACACTGTCTGTGAACTACAGTTATACTTCCTAGATTTCTTAAAGGAATAGCATCTTATATTGTCTGTGATTAAAACCTTCTCCATTGCTTTTAACACTCAGACATTGCCTCATATTTATGGTATACTCCCTAATAAATGTATTTTCACAGTGTACAGAACAAATTCAGTAGCAATGGGCATTTCTCATACTAAATGCATTTTTTAAAAAAAATCTGCAGTGCATTACAAACTCTGCTAGGTTTGCTACATCATCTTATGAATAATTTGAATGAGAAGGACTGTATGCATAACACATATCTACCCCCAAAGAAAGTGTTGAAAACGGTCAGACCAAAATAGGCACAAAACTATTTCTCTGTCTGTTAGCATAACTGATGATAGGTGTCCATTTTTATACTGCCAGACATCAAATGTCAGTCTCCTTCAGTAGAACATTGTGAGTGTGTAGCAGGCTATACACAAACTCTGTGCTTATAAAAAGATGTCTAAAACATCAATACCTCTGTGTTGTGTTGTGTAAATCTATAGTACATTGCAGGTGCTGAAACAGTTTCTGCCTATTTTTTAAGCTGCCTTTTGTTGTTTCTTCGCCACTGAAAATGACATTCTTGTTTTGATGATTTTCCAGTTCCTTCTCCCAGTAAATTCCGGTCCCCAGCAGCACCATCTCCTCTGGCTCTGAGACAGCCGGTAAAAGCGTTTAGTAACCATGGACCTAGCTCTGCCGTTCCAGAAGCTGTCCAGCTTTCACATAGCAGCTCTTCACCAGGGCCTTTAGCAGCTCCCAATTCAGTCTCTCCAAGCCCAGCCAGCAGCATCAACAGTGCTACACTTACAAGACCCGCAGGGACAACAGGGATGAGGAGTGGTTTGCCAAGACCTAGTGCCCCCTCCGCTGGGGGCATACCAGTGCCTCGTAGCAAACTTGCACAGCCTGTTCGCAGGTGAGTCTTGCTTTCATTTTAAGATTTCATACTGCAGAAGCAGTCTTCCGTACAAGTGCTTGCATGTCTCGAACTCCAATAGTGTATCATTTATGCTGTGCACTAATAGCAATCCCAGTTCTCCTAGTGCTGTTTTTATGTAGTCAGAAAGGCACCACTGACCCACAGGATAGAGGTATTTTCAGAGTATTGGGGGGTGGGAGGACAGGACCTAAAGATTGAGCATGAGCGTTCTCAGTGGTCACAGAATGCTGACTGAAGTGGGGTGGACTGTGGAAAACCAGGGAAAGGCATCTTTCAGGTAAGCTGGTTGCAAGCCATTTAGAGCTTTATAGGTCAAAACCGTCACTTTGAATTGCACTTGCAATCTAAGAGAATTGGCAGCCAATGTGGGTAATACAAAAGGGGAGGAATACAAGCATTAGATTTCACTCCTATAAGAAGCCCGCTTGCAGCATTCTGAACTTGTTGAACTTTCCAAACTGTTTTCAAAGGCAGCCCTACCTCAAGATAAGAGATGACTTAAGGAAGGGATCACTGTAGCAACATCAGGTAGTTTCAGAAAGGCACGCAGCTCAGCTGGTGCACCCACCTTAATTGTATAAAGGAAGGCTAAGGCCCTAAAACCCAGATATAAAACTGGGTTGAAGACCACCCCACCTGCAAGCTGAATCCTGCCTTTTCCATGAGAGTTCAGCCACTTTAAATGCTGGATGAACATCCAAACGGAAGCTTTTGCGTTTGATCAGAAAACCCTCTGTTTTGCATAGTAGTAGTAGTAGTTGTTGTTTATTAATTGAATTTTTCCTGGAGGTCTCAGGGCGGTTCACATAAAAATATCACAGCATATAAAATAAAAATAAAACAATAACCCACTAATACCTCCCCCCAAAACGGCCACATTTTAAAAGGGTATGGGATGTTGATCAGGTCAACCAAAGCCCTGGTTAAAAAGGAACGTTTTTGCTTGGTGCCTAAAGGTGTATAAATGAAGGCACCAGGCAAACTTCCCTGGGGACAGCATTCCACAGACAGAGAGCTATTGCAGTTCCCATATGCTAGCCCTCACTGAGTTCAGTATTAACACCAATCATTTACTACTTCTCTCTTAGTTGAATGTAAGTGGCTTTTGAGCTAAAGAGGTTGCTGTTGCCACAGTTAACTTCAACACAGAGGTACAGCCAAGCTTATTTTCACTGGGCACAGCTCACCAGAAGCCAGTCCTTTGGAACTCTCGTGTTTTAATGCAGTTCTTGTTCATTTCAAGATAGCTTGCACAGCACAAAAGCCCCAGTAGAATGTGCTGTTTGTGGGCGGGTCAGTTTGGATTGATTTTGGTACTAGGTTAAATTTTAGAGAAAACAATTGGAGCAGTCTTTTCTGAAACCTAACCTACCTGAACAAAGTGAAATGAAAAAAAGATCAGGCCGTATTTATGACATTGCCTTTCTGAATCAGGCGAAGGTCTTATCTAGTCCAGCATCTGCTCCCAATAGCAGCTAGCTGGATGTATCTGAAATGCTAAAGCTAGTTTAAATGTTAATGTTGTCTGTTAGTTACTCCAAGCGTATATTGCTAAAAGTTAATCTAATATTGGGGATAACTTCTTAAAATGAACAATAGTTGGTGCTAATACCTTCAGTGAACTGTAATTTTAAAGAAGTAGTTGCACTTGTATATCATGGTCTAAGACTTTCTTGGGAATGTATTTTTGTGTTTCAGAACATTGCCAGCTCCCAAAACCTATAGCAATGTGAAAGATGAGAGTTGGAAGGACGGCTGCTACTGAAGTGCAAAGCAACACTGTTCAGTAGGTACTCCTTCCCCAGGCTAAATGACAGATCAATATGCAGACTGATCAGATAAGACTTTGGGGGTTTGCAAATCCCCAGACCTCTGTCCTTAATTAGCACAAGCTGGCAGAGATTATAAAACAGCACTTTAATGACATTAACATCAGATACTTGGTGATCACTCAAATCACTTTTACATGAATCACTTTTCACCTCCGGAGCTTTCTCTCCTCTGCTACCTAAAAATTGTTATAAATGCTCTCATGGATACAGTGGTCAACATCTGGGCAAACACCTAACACAATGCCAAAGAAACATCTATCCTGAAAAACAGCATGTAAAATCGTAAAAATAAAATTAAAAATAAAATCTAAAACATCCATATGTGACTTGATTTGATTTAAGGAAAATAATTTTCTGGAGCTGTAGTATGTAAACATTAACATATTAATCAAAGGGGGGGAAACGGCTTGCCAAGTGCTACTGTGGTAGTGAAATCCTTTTAAACAATTGTGGAAGATTTCAATGGAGAAATTGCTGAGTCACAGCAGAACCATTTTATCTGGAGTCTCATTTGGGAGTGGTAGGGAAGCCATGTCATTGTTTTTATCTTTTTGAACAATCCGGATGCAGCAGACCTCATATATCTGGGTTGGATAGGTTGCATCTTTTTATGTTGATTTCTTGACCCAAACTGGTTTTGTGTTGTTTCATTTGGATTGCCAAAAGGGCTTAGTATCAACTGTACAATCTTTCTAAACTTAGCAGTTCCTGGCTCAGGAAGATGGCCTTTGCTATCGCAAACAACATTTTGAAAAACACAGCTCACACTATTTTGAGAAGTCCTTTTTCAGATGAAATTTCCTTGAAAAGGGAGAAATTGTCCATTAAAATCACACCTCAGTGCTTACAGCCTGGAACTCAACTGAACATGCGTAGAGTTAACATAAAGAAAAGATGACTATGCACTTATGCCCTAGAGATACTAAGGAAATGAGTTGTACTGTTGATACCAAATGATTATATTCATGTGGGTAATGTTTCATGGTATGAGGGAGTTTTCTTTATCTTTTTTTAAAGAAAAAAATGATTAGCTTCCTAAACTAATTTGTGTTTAATTGTAAATACTTCTTCCGAAGTTATTGCCCATGTTAGTATTTTAACTATGTACTTTGCCTTACACCTGTATTTTACATTGTTGGTAAGAGTTTAAAAAACGAAAACGAAAAAAAACAACCCAGCCATATATGTTTACAAGATATTTAGTTCCTCTAGTGGCTGTCAGACTAACCAATACTTATCACTATTTTTACTTGTTTGCAGGGTTGCCTGCTCAGTTAAAATACAAAACAAAACCCTGCTGCTATTGACACCCTATTTCCCTCCCTTCACAAACATACATACCTTTTAAAAAATGTTTTTGTTTTTTGCTGCATTGAACGACTGAAGATGTGAAAACAGCAAGCTGGGAGCAGGTCCGTTGTAAATGTCTCTATGGATGGGGCAGTCTCTCAGTATGACATCCGCTGTGAGTCTGCAGCACTCATGAAGTTCTTGTTAAAACAAGGCAGCCAGGATACTTTTTATGTAATGACTAAAGAATTCAACAGGCTCTGTTGGAATTGTGGTAGGTTGCCTTTGAACCTCATTCATGCCTGCCTCATAATATGTGTGTTTTGAATTTTGCAGCAAATGGTAATTCATCCTAGAATTTCACAGTCCTCGGATTTTTAGTTTTCTTAGCTTAGTGGATTAAAAGCCATGCAACTTTTACTTGAATTGGATAAGTGAACAAGACAGACTAGGACCAGATCTCTGATCCAGCAGTTTCGTAATCCGCGGGCAGTCTTTATTGGTTAAACAAGAGGCCCTTCATTTTGCCATGTTTAAGTCACGGGATTCTTACTGCAGGAATTTTTAGGATGCTGATTTCTAAAGACACATTATGGGAAGAAAGGTTTATGTACAGGTCCAAGTACCCAAAAAAACTGGGCATTCTTTCTGATTCTTGGTTTAAACAGGTCTTATAAGTAGATTTCTTCACAATTCTTTCCAATGCTACTTTTTGTATACGGTGGAATGATACGCACGGCGAATCATAAGCACAGTCTGGGAAGTGGAATTCATTTTAATTAAAAAATACTTCCCCTGATCTTTGCATCCAGATAAAAGTCTGCCTGGATGAAATCTACTGCTCTAGTGTGTCTTCCGAAATCAAAGTAGCCAATAACCTGTCGTAAACCTGAGGTAGGATTAATAGTGTTGTACCGTTAATCCAACACATGTGATGTTGAGCCAAAAAAAAAAAAAAGGCGAGGTACCAAAATATTTTAGGTAAAACTATCGGGCTTCATTTTTCAAACTTGGCTCTAATGAAGTAGATGTTGCAATCTTCAGAAGTGAGGAAATTCTAATTTGTGCTTTTATTAGGAAAATGTTTATTTTATGTTGTTCAGAAATTCAGATGTTACCTTTTTAACCAAGGTGCATCGCCTTCTTTTATAAACCACTTTTTAAAAATCAAACTCAGCTGTTCAATCATTTTGAAGGTGTATTAAGTTCTGGAAACATCCTGCTGCTACATCATAATAAAAATCCAGCAAATACAAATTCCTGAAAGAAGAAAACTGCCAGTTTACTAGGGGAGATTTTGTGCATTACCAGTTTATTTGATTACCAGGACATCCTAGGGCTTTATGTGTTTAGAGGTTTGGGTATATTGAAGAAGTGTGGAAACATGAATTTGATAAACTAGTGCCTATGATTTTCTTAATTTATGTTTGATAATAGTAGTAAGGGTTTTATGAATGTGGATTATTTTTAGTGCCAACAGCTCAGAATTGTTGTATGTATGTAGGCAGAAAAGAAAGGAATTCTGCTTCCAAAGTTATTTAATTTTTTTCTCAGTGTTTGAATGTTTTTGTAAGTGTTAATAAAAAAGTAAAAAAAATGGAAAAAATATAAATATTCTTACCACAGCATTCTTTGACTCTTTTTTAAAAATAAAATAAAATCTGTATATACAATTCAGCATTTGAAGTTTTGTTGAAGTTAATTTAATTACTCTGGTCATCTTCATTCTTTAGAGATGTACTTACTATTGGACATCTGTGATTTAGGGCTAAGCAGCAAAACAGGAGTAAAAACTTACAGGCCTACAGGGTTGCGCTTGTTCATTTTGCTGGTAGGACCAAATAGCTTTGTAGGAGGGATTTCCAGTGGGTAGGTTAAACTCCCCTTCCCTACTTGCCACTTTGGTCTTCTCCTAACTGTGTTTTATAAAAGCAAAGCATTGCAAATTCACATCAAATAACTTGTATATGTTGTATCTGATTAAATTGGGGGGAAAGTTGCTGCTTTGCCGTGTGTGTGTGTGTGTGTGTATACATATATGCGTATGTGTGTGTGTGTTTCTATATAGGTGTGTGGGCAGGAGAAGCAATTCTACATGGCAGTGGTTCTTTTAACGAGAACACACATAGCTTTAGAACGACATCTACTGGCGATGTTTATCTTCCTTTCTGTGTAAGGAAAAAAAGGCCCACACATGGTTGCATGTCAGAATTAAGCAGGCAGATTCACATCTGCTTCCCTTATTCACCTAAACAGCTGCATTTGCCTTTGCCTATACAGAGCTTGTTTCGATTCAAATATTCTTCCTCAATTGGTTAATGTTGTCACTTAAAAGTGTCTGTTTGAAATAGCCACTATGTGTCTGTGAAAATTAGATTGTGTCCAGCTGAAACAGATGCTGATAATATTTGTAATGGTGCATTTTAAGCAATGCTAATTAGAACTCAAAGGCATTTCTGGTTAAATTACCAGCATTCAGTTGATTTGTTAACAGTCAAACATTTCAGTGTTTCCACATAGCTGGCCCAGAGGATTGCTTAGAAAAGGCAGCTCCTTTTGATTCTTCATTATTTGGAAAACTTGAGTGAAGGGAAATGTACAATCAGTAGTAACACTGCCGGCACAATACTTAGTTTCAGAAGATGGAAGAAGCAACAGTGAAAAATTCACATTTTATGCCTACAATATGTTTGCAGCCAGAATATAAATACCGTGTTCCTTTTGTAGGCCTCATTTTAAGCAATGCATTTACAGGAGAAGGAACCTTCAGTGAGAATGAACAATTTCAGCCGACAACAATTGTTTCTATTTTATCTGACTTCCGTACCTCACAACCAGGCTAAAATCTTAATAGTGGGAAAAGAACCTTTATCAAATAGGCTTAACGACTGTAATCTGCACCGAGTGCTGGAGAAAGAACCATACTGCTTTGGGAATATACTACCATATGTGGTGGGGTTGCCCAAAGATTCAAGTTTTTTGGGGATAACTTGTGGGTGAAATGTAGCAAATTGGTTAACAAACAAAACTATAATATACAAAAATGTTAATCTTTTTATTGGTAGCAGCAAGACAAATAATAGTAAAGCACTGGATTTAAGAAAAAAAGAATTGTAGAACTATGTCTGAAATAACTCACCAAGTGAAGAAACTAACCAGACGTTAAGATGTCTCGAGTATGAAGATGATTTTGTGGACCAGTAGGTTTTCAGTGGGTGAAAAGATCAAAATACTTCCCTCCACACATAGCACAATCTACTGGGATGAAGGTAAGAAGATTGTAGCCATCTCTGTCAAATCCTAATGTGTAATGTACCACATGTGGGACGCGGGTGGCGCTGTGGGTAAAACCTCAGCGCCTAGGACTTGCCGATCGCATGGTCGGTGGTTCGAATCCCCGCGGCGGGGTGCGCTCCCGTCGTTCGGTCCCAGCGCCTGCCAACCTAGCAGTTCGAAAGCACACCTGGTGCAAGTAGATAAATAGGGACCGCTTACCAGCGGGAAGGTAAACGGTGTTCCGTGTGCTGCACTGGCTCGCCAGATGCAGCTTGTCACGCTGGCCACGTGACCCGGAAGTGTCTGCGGACAGCGCTGGCTCCCGGCCTATAGCGTGAGATGAGCGCACAACCCTAGAGTCTGGCAAGACTGGCCCGTACGGGCAGGGGTACCTTTACCTTTAATGTACCACATGGTACTGTTTTAAGGGTTATAGGGAATTGTTTAAAATATTTTAAAATGTGAACCTTTCACAGCCACTGTTATACAGCACCATGTAAGCTATTGCCTGAAATGGGGCCTCGTAGCCTTTATCTGCTTCAGAAGATGAAGCTGCAGATGAAACTGCTGTGCTTCAGGTACAAAAAGTTCCAAGGTAAGTTAACCACCCTTTGCCATCTCTTCGGTAGTGCCTTTTCCTCCCCTGTCCACAAATGTATATGCATCTAAACCTAGCCACTCTACAATAGCCTTGCCTTTAACTCTTGAGATATGGTTTCCAACAACAGCTGTATTTCCCAGTTCACAAAATACAGATCCCTTGGGAATCTCCTCTGTTGTTGGTCAATAGGTGACCATACTGCCTTCTAAAAATGCCGTTATCTTATTTTCTCAGCACTTTTGTCTGATATTTAGTCACCAGAAGCATGTGTGTGTTCTGTGCCCCTTTGGAGCTACTGTAAGCTCATGCTTTGTCAATAAAGAATAAAACTACCAGCCATTTGTCCTCCTTGGGCTGAGTCTGCTCAGGACAACAGGGAACTTAACATCCCATTTGTTTTCATTGGGGGAAGACGCCTTATAATTCTGGCCTGCGTGGAGCTGTGTGCATCCAGGGATGCTTGCAAGTTCTTCAGTCAACAAAATAAGAAAAACGATGAACGTCAGCCTGCCAAAATCATCTTGGGCTGATAAAATGAGAGGACTAGAGAGCAGAAATGTAAAACAAGTGTTGCACACATACCCAGAGTATGTCTAGAAGCTAAAGGGCTTGGGCAATATGAGCTCAAAACTGATGCTTAGATGTAAAGGCACTACAAGTAGTTGTGTCACTGCACCTCAGTTTGCTGTTGCTTAAAAGGTGGTTGGGATGCAACTCGTAAAGGAACCCAGTTACGGGCTCCGGAGCAAAGAGGGGCAAGTGGCGCGGTGCTGAGAGTCAACTGCTTCTTCCGTGGAGCGAAGCCGCACAGCCGTTGCCGGAGAGTGCTGCCTTTTGCCTGGGACAATTTGGCTACCAAAACAACTACCCGTGAGTAGCTTAAATTCGGACAATTGGACTTTAAACAACGACTTGTGAGTAGAAAGGAAAATTGGACTAAGAAATTCTTCTTAATTTGGCACTGAAACGGGAAGGTCTAAACAGGAAGTCAGCCTTCCGTTTCTTGTAGATAGATTAAAGCAAAGACATGGCAAACTAGAGTTCAGAAAATCATTTGTAAAGGATTAACTTTCATCATCTAAAATTGTTGAACCCCCTTCGGAAGCAGGAGAAGAGGGGGGATTTTTTCCGGACTGTTTAAACCTGCAGAAGAGAGTGTAAAGAAAAGTAATTTTCCACCGTCTTGAACCTGGGAGCGGGGTGTCAGGACTGACGTTTTTGGGAAGTTCATTGACTATAGACAAACGTCTTTGACAGACAGTTAAAAGAAGAGAAACATAGTGATTCCACTGTTCTCCTTCGCATTTTAAAGGAACAAATATTGACAAAATATCTGAAAAAGGAAACTTTGTTGTTAGATCTGCTTTTAAAAGAAATAATAAAAAAAAAGATGGATACAAATAGAAGTTCTTCCCCTAGAGGGAGCCTGTGAAACTGTTACTAAATTTGAACCGGGGAGCTCTGCAGCTGCAACAGATTAAGATCGTGGGAATAGACTTCTGACCTTGTATAACAATGTATTCAGAAGCTCTGGTACGTGCTTTCTGCAAAACAAGTGCCTTATTGGAACAGCTACATGAGAAGACGGACTTGATGACTGTTGCGATCAGAAATTTTGAACAGGTAGTGAGTAACTATATAGAACCCACCCAGGAACCAACTCAGGAGTGTGCTCTGACAGATCAGATGAGGGAGGAGGATGTTGCTGGACCTCGGGTGTCAGAGATGGAGCGAGCTGTGGCCCAGCAGGAACATGAGTGGTTGGATCTGACAAATGAACTTGGAAAATGCCAGATTTGGAGAGATAGAGTTTTGTTTGGTTTGGAAATGGGGGGTTGGATAGACCCCCCCTATGCAGGGATGTTTTGACTCTTCAAGTCTGGCAATGGGCCGCGAGATGTTTGGGGTTGTGGGGGTTCTTAACTCTGGAGGGACTTTGAAACATGTTTTTAAATACCACATGGAGTTTAGTGTGGACTATGGAAAAGGGGCTGATTTGTCGAGAAGGGACAAAAATACTGTCAAGTTGGAGTTTCCACGAGTGAAAGGAGCAGGAGACAAAGTAAAGTACAGGTATAAATATGAAGAAGATCTGCGGAAGGGACATGGAAGAGACTTAAGGGCCTCGGACATAAGATTACCAGGTTAATGAGCTAGATGGATGGGATAGAAAGGACTGACAAAACCCGGGACCAGGAGGAAGAGACGTTGGATGAAGATTGGAAGAAAGTTTTAAAAAAATTTATTAGGATTGTTTTATAAAATTGATGAATGTTAGAAAAATGTTGGAACGAAATTATTTGGCTTTAGCAGAAATGTTAAAAGAATTATGTAAGAATATGTTATGGTTATGAGAAATTGGTATAAATAAGATCTAAGTTTTAAGTTTTAGGGTCTTTTATACTAAGATAAGGTTAAAATAGATTAAGGTAATTTAATGACAGAATATTATGAAAAATGGAAAGGATTTGCTGTGATAATTAACAACTAGAATACAAAAAAGGGGAGGAGTGAGGAGGTCGATGAAATAAGGCAATGACAGTTAAGGATTTGGGAATATTGGATTTGTTTTTAAATTTTTGTGGCTTATTTTTGCTTTTTGATTGTGATGTGTTACGTGTTTTGTTGTTGTTGTTTGATTTTGATTTTTATCAATTTGTATTGTTTGATTGTGGTTTGTTTTTCTTTTGTGTTTTTTTCCTTCTTCTTTTTTCCCTTCTTTTTCTCTTTGTTTTTCCTGTAATTTTAAA